GTCCCGTTGTGCACAGACAAGGAGGACGAGAGCCAGACAGGCAACCCAGGGACTTTGTTCCGGGACTCTCCACAGGTTCCCTATATCTGTGGAGGAGGACCTCAAAAGGCCAGAGCCATTAAAGCCTAGGACTGTCAAAAGACAGCTGTTAAAGTTATCTCATGTAACAGAGTAGAGCAGTCAGCAGGCTGCCTCCACATCAGCTGTGCAGGTTAGGATTGCACTGAGGTGTAGGAGAGAAAGATGAAGAGGTTATAAAGCCACAAAGGTGACATTCATTGTATATGTGCAACACACTTGTAAATATATATTTAACTTCATTGGTTCTCATGCATGTTGCATTTGCATTATGTTGACAAAAATGAGGTCGGGTCCAGCAATGGGGTTGGGAGTGGGTTGAATTGGGTGTAGGTCTGGCAGCATGGGGTCGGATCCAGCAGCAGTTTGAGTCCAGTCTGGCAAAGTTGTGGGGGGGGTGGTTTCGGTTGTGTCCAGCTGCAAGTTGCTGGCTTGGGTCATGCAAGGTGGAGAAGGGTGTTGTCTGATCCCTGGGTGTGGTGTAGCTGGTCTCGGGGATCTGTAGTTGAGTGTGTGTAAGGAAAGTATAGGGTTAGTTTAATAGTTTGCTCAGGATTTAGACTATATATTTAACAGTCCAACTTTCCCTCGAGTAGCTGTTTTACTTAATTTCATCAAAAGTCTTAGATTTAGATGAAGACTTTCAGAGGGTTCCAAGCAGAAATTAATTGTCCAGAAGAAAATTCAATTTCCCAGGCAATTCTTTCAGAGTATGTTATGAGGAAAATTCCACGGAATCCCCTTATGCAACTTCCATTAACACTGGAATACAGCTGTCTGGCCAGTGGAAAGTCCAGGCTAGCACACCTTGGTCTAGAGTGTGACAGGCAATGCAGTTGAGTGGCACCTCGTCTATAAGGCTCCTTTTTACGCATTTTCTAACCACTGGGAGCATCAGCAGAACCTGATCTCATGTTTATATCGATCAAGCAATTCACTTTCTAGCAGAAGTCTCTGGATAACAATCGGAGCTCCTCTCTCACCTGAGACTATCTGCAATATCTCAACACGTGCACCACCTGAGAGAAGTTAGCTTCACATGAATAAGGTCCACAATTTGAAACCTTCCTGGTCTTTATAATTTACCACTGTGCTACATCAGCTATTTAACTCATTTAACTATTGGGCTGTCAATATTTAAATGTTATGAGAAGATTACTCCTTCTCAAAAAAATGGTTTTCTGTCAGTGACTGCATGTGTCATTTGAATATTAGCAAACACTGATTCACTAATTAACTGGTTTGCCATCTGTCAAAACATTTCTGTCTTTTCATTAATGTTATTCTTGAATGAATATTCATCTAACATGTATTGCGGAGATGCTGCCGTGTAACATCGTATTATTTTTAAAAAGTTGAGATTGGGTATTTTTTTTTTCTAACATGATCATTAATTCAATTCATTACCTCACTTCAGAATGTGGATCTTTTGTTCATACTAGGTTTCACTCATTAAAAGGCATATTGAATCATGAAGAAATGTTAATGTGTCAGAGTTGCTGATGGGTCAAAGCAGTTTGAAAAATTTGGATGTAGTCACTATACGTAGTGTGCAGTCCCAGCATAGCCTCACAGATAGTTATTTCACAGAATGGAGCCTATGAAACATCTTGCACACTTTCTGAGTGCATTTACTACCAGTAGACTTTCATGCTTCTACACAATTAGCCTTTTACATGTTTAAGAAGAGAGCCAGGTTTCCAATATCATGCATCAAATTACTTTCTACAAATTAATTAATGAATAATATCATACACTCAATTAAGGTAGCAGGTAGAGATCAAGTATTTCAATGAAAACCTTTTTTAATTGGAAATTTAATAAGAACTTCAAGTAAAATGCAGTAGCAACACTCAAAAGAAAAAAAGAGACCTGAATTCTAAAGGAAATAGAATCTTCTATCTCAAAATAGTCTGCACAAGAATATTTTCATCCAATTTCAGCTGGGAGAAATGATGCATACTATGGAATAAAATTATAGAATTCCACAGAAACAAGCCATTTAGTGCATTGTGTCAACTCTCCTTGAAAGTGATCCCCATTTTGTTGCATTCCTTTGCCATCCTGTTATTTTTGAGCTCCAATATATATTCACTGCCGTTTAAAATGTTTTTGACTCAAATTTTCAGGTTACAACCAAAAGTGGAACTTTCAGCGCTCACTGTTGCAGGTTGAAAGTGATAGCAATCTCTGGTGTATGTAGGTAGTTTTAATCAACCCCTGTTCAGATAAATATGAGGTGCTGCATTTCAGAAAGGCAAATCAGGGCAGGATTTGTGCACATAAAGGTAAGGTCCTGGGGAATTCTGCCAAGCATAGAGACCTTCAGGTGCAGGCTCATAGCTCCTTGAAAGTGGAGTCACAGTTAAACAGGGTGGTGAAGAAGGCATTTAGTATGCTTGCCTTTATTGGTCAATGCATTGAGCATAGGAGTTGGGAGGTCATGTTGTGGCTGTACAGGACATTGGTTAGGCCATTTTTGGAATACTGTATTCAATTCTGGTCTCCCTGCTATAGGAAAGATGTGGTGAAACTTGAAAGGGTGCAGAAAAGATTTACAAGGATGTTGATAGGGTTGGAGGGTTTGAGCTACAGGAAAAGGCTGAATAGGCTGTGGCTATTTTCCCTGGAGCGTAAGAAGCTGAGGGGTGACCTTACATAAGTTTATAAAATCAGGAGGGGCCGAGATAGGGTAAATAGTCAAGGTCTTTTCCCCAGGGTAGGGGTGTCCAAAACTAGAGGGCATAGGTTTAAGGTGAGAGAGGAAATATTTAAAAGGAACCTAAGGGAAACTTTTTCATGCAGAGGCTAGTGTGTGTATGGAATGAGCTACCAGAGGAGGTGGTGGAGGCTGGTACAATTACAACACATAAAAGGCATCTGGATGAGTACATAAATAGGAGGGGTTTACAGGGATATGGGCCAAATGCAACTGGATTAATTTAGGATATCTGTTGGGTTGGACGAGTTGGACCAAAGAGTTTGTTTCCATGCTGCACTTCTCTATGACTATGTGTTATGGCACACCTATGGTGTATCTCACACATCTGGAGCAGGTAGGACTTGAATCCAGGCCTTCTGGCTCACAGATAGAGACATGATCACTATGCTATGCAAGCTCGCCTCTGGCATATGTCCATGCACAGTTTAACATCAAAATGCTGACGTTTCTGTCAATCATGCCCAGATACTACACAGTTTGTGCTGTTGCAGACTTCAGTGGTGGCATTGCAGTGATTTTTATGCAGATTCTATCACCTGATACCATTACAGTAATTAGATATTTTTAATCAAGCTGCTCAGAGATGGTATTACACCGAATTGGAGCAGGTGAGACTTGAACCCATGAAGTCTTGTCCCAGAGGTAGGGATACTACAATTGCATCACAAAAACCTTATTACAGTCATTACCCACTTGTCACATATTAAAGACAGCTGAGAAAAAGAAGGATAGTGCATTCAGAGGTGAATGGACTTTAATAAGTGACAATTGCTGCTGAACAACATATCTAGCTTCAAAGATTTTTTTCAAGTGTGAATTCTCATTCTCTCAGAAGAAATTTCATGCTGTGAATTTTTGAATTTTTTTTTTAGATTTGATGTCCCTTTTAATCCTATGTTCCCATTTGAATTTTGGACAGTGATTTGAATGATTTATTCCTCTGCTTTGGAATATTTATCTTTGAGAATGTTTACCTACTTCCTGGGAGATAGCAAGAACTGCAGATGCTGGAGTTAAGACACAACACATTGTGGAGTCGGAGGAACACAGCAGGCCAGGCAGCATCAGAGGAGCAGGAAAGTTGACGTTTCTGGTTGGGACCCGTTTTTGATGAAGGGTCCTGACCCGAAATGTCAATTTTCCTGCTCCTTTGATGCTGCCTGGCCTGCTGTGTTCCTCCAGCTCCACACTGTGTTGTCTGCCTACTTCCGGGCATGTTTTTAGTACAGAAACGTGCCCAACAAGAGCAGGAGTAGGCCACTCATCTTTTTGGGCCTTCTCTGCCATTCAATACGATGATGTCTGATTATCCAATTCAGTACCCTGTGCTGCTTTTTCCTCCATACTATTTGATCCCTTTAGCCCTAAGAACTACATCTAACTCCTTCCTGAAAATATTCTATGTTCTGGCCTCGAACGCTTTCTGTGGTGAAGAATTCCACAGGCTTACAATCTCTAGGTGGGGAAATTTCTCCTCATCCTCCGTCTACTCTGTATCCTTAGACTGTGATCCCTGGTCCTACTCAAATTATATTGTCTAATTGATCAGGGTCAAATCTTGCTTTCTGATGCTTCTGTGAAGGCGGGGAACATTTCAATTTGAGATTCTGTAAAACGTAGGTTGTTGTTGTTGTTAGGCATGTTCGATGAATCATGATTTTTTTGTTCCCTTTGCCCCTCACAGCAAAACCTTGGCCTTATAAATGACTTTATTTACCCTGTTATGACTCACTACTGGGGCTGAGACCTCTTAGGCTTGAACCTAGATTAGAGGCAGGGTCACTCTGACCTCATGCTCTTTCTGATTTATAATTATGCATTTGCATCCCTCAATAATGTATTCATTGCTCTACCAAGCAAAACCCAAATTTCTACTATAAATGCAATTCAGCTACTAAGTCTCTCCTTGCATCCATGTCCGAGTGCAAAATACACAGGTTGTAGGATTACACATTTCATTCTCAATCCCAGCTCTGTTCAGACACTAGAACAACCCAATATTGAACTAACATTCCTTGTTGAAGTAGTGCGATATAATTTTTTAATGGAGGCCTGTACTATTTTCATGTCTATAAACAACTGTGTCTTTGAGCTTTAGTTTTGTTTTTGGTTGCAGTTGACGAAATAAAATCTTTGTTACTTTCCCTTTAATTGCCCGGAGATCCTTTAAACGGAATAGGAAGTAGACTGTACCCTTTTGTGAGCGGAGCTAAGTGGGTGAGGAGATGTGGCTGTATGCGGGACTGGTGTTGATTTTGTATTTTATCTTCCACAAAGTTTTCCGCCGCTCCTCCCCGAGTCTCAACCCTTTCGCCAGGGACACCAGGAGACCACCGGAGCCTCTGGTCACCGATCCAGAAGCCAGGAAGCGGCTTATCCACAAAGGTGCCATATATTGTTGCATTAGAAAAGCTGTCCAAAGTCTACATTCGTGCAGCTTTAGCTGTTCAGTTCATATTTAATAACGCTAGGAAGATCACATAGTCTTGCGCTGAGTTTGTTTACGAGGCTTGTGACGAGCCCTAAACCAGGTATATGTAAACGGCAGTTTCGGGAAAAACAACCTCGTCCCCGTCCCTCCAAACTGAGAACTTGTGTGTATGTCCTCTTTAAAAGCAATCTAAAGGTCAGTTTTGTCAGGCGGCAGGAACCGACTATTTGGACCACAAATCAATCCTGTTAGGAAGAAGCCTTATAAATCACAACACTGATCTATCCTGAGATAGTAAGAACTGCCATGCTGGAGTCAGAGATAACACAGTGTGGAGCTGGAGGAACACAGACAGCTGCCTGGCCTGCTGTTTTCCTCCAGCTCCACACTGTGTTATCACTGGACTATTCTGAACCTCTTTGGGCCAACAAGTCTACAGCAACTTTGCCAGCACCTGGCATAATATAAATTGCAGGTCCTAAAACCAAATCTCGAAGATTGGGTTTGTTTCCCCAGTGAACTGAAACAATTATCATGTTGCTGACAAGGCACAATATTTTGGAGAGGGACAGAGGAACATAGAGATATGAGAACCACACTTTGAATTTTATTTTTTTCTCTTTTGATCTTCATCCTTTGTTATGCATCCTCAATCCCCTGATGGGTCCAGTGAGCATGTTTTTTTCTTAAATGTATCCCTTGCCATGTCTTTTCTGCCCAACTTGTCACTTTGAATCAGTATCAGTTTACTGGAGAATGATGTATTTGAGGACGCCTAACCTTTCATTGTGTCTAATATGTCATTGTGATCTTATTCAGGCTTTACTGCAGATAAAGTGCCCGAAAACCTTGATGCCATTGTGATTGGCAGTGGAATTGGAGGGCTCTCGGTAGCAGCAATATTGGCAAAAGCTGGCAAGCGTGTCCTGGTGCTGGAACAGCATGACCAAGCTGGAGGATGTTGTCACACATTCATTAAGAAGGGTTTTGAGTTTGATGTCGGTAAGAGCTTTGCATTTGAAATCCACTGTACTGCAAAATAATATTCTTTATTTGGTGTGGACCCTTTTTGCCTCTTTCGCTTTTAATATCTCAACAATGGCGATTCTTCAACTAATAACAAAAAGTGCTATTCTTGGCTTCCTTTCTGTTCTTGGCTGCTAATATGGGAAGTCCCAAAGTCAAGTACTTTTAGTTGTAAAGCTGAGTGCTATTCATTACAGGAAAATAAACCTTGCAAGTATAGAATTGCCTACTATATTTTAGGATACTTTACAATCACTGAATTACTTTTAAGACCAACCGCTGTTTAAGGTCAGTCTGGCAGCCAATTATATGCAGTAGGATCCCATAAATACCTGAGGTTTATCTCTCTTTTGATGGCATTTATCAAGAGACCTGCTGGCCTGACACAACAATGATGTATTTATTTACATCTTTAACATAATAAAGCATTCTCCGGGCTATTATAAAACAAAGTATAGCTTCGAGCGACATTAGATCATGTGACCAGTAGCTTGTTCAAAGGACTGTCTTAAAAGAAGGTCGCAGAAAGAAATGAAGATTTGAGCAAGGGATTTTCCAGAGATTAGGGTCTAGACGACTGAAGGCACATATATCAATGGTGAAGTGATTAACATCAGGGATGCACAAGATGCTAGAATTAAAGAATCACCAACATCCCTTCTGTGGACAGTGCTGTGTGAGCATTTCACATTCGTCCACAGTTTTGGTACAGCCAACGAGGATTGACATCTTGTGCAATAAATGACACCTCAAACAGTAAGGTGCTCCCTTTGCACTACCCTGAGATAACAACCTCAATTATATGTACAAGCTCTGCAGTGGGAATTGGTTTCTGACACAGAGGCAACCATGCAACTTGCTGAGTGAAACTCAGTTTCTATGACATGAACTGTTGTGCTTTCTGCCGTTGTTTGGGTACAATTTGATAAATGGACTTTTGTTTCCACCTGGATCCCTCCTAAATTTTAAAAAGAAATGGAGGTGAGCTAATCTGAAGAATCAGTTTCATATTAATTCTTGGTGGATTGTGGGAGTTATGATGAGCTATAGGAGCTTTGCAGCTGTTTTATTATCAATGGCAGCAAAATAATATTACAGGTTAACATTGAGGCAAGTGACACATACCCAGACAGTTCTTTGTGGCTGGTAACTCTATAGAAAGGGCTTCTCCATCCAGTTTGAGATATCCTGGACTCCTGTGTGAGGTGGCAAAAACAAGAAATAGCTGCAGTGGAGAAACGTCTGCCTACTGCAGTCAGTTACTAGAGTGGAGTCTACCACATGGAGGACATACCTCTTTCTCAAAGTTCCTTTCATAAGGATGTGGATTAATTTAATTCATAATGATTAATCTTTAATGAATACGACATTTGAGTCTGACATCTAAAATACCAGGTACTGATATGGTGCTCGTATACGCTCTTCCATTGTGCCGGAGAGTATTGCTGATCATGCAGAAAATTTTCTGAAGAAGGGTCTAGGCCCGAAACGTCAGCCTTCCTGCTCCTCTGATGCTGCTTGGCCTGCTGTGTTCATCCAGCTCTACACCTTACTTTCAATAGCTAGATTGTCCTGGTTGGACAAGCATTGGTAGCAAGTTTACTACTGCCCTGTAACTAGTCTGTACCTGGTTAAATGAAAGCCATATCCCTGAGGGCAATTGCTAACCTTGATCTCCATTTACTGGATATTGATAAGTGGATTATGTGCTCCATCCTGGCAAACAGAAACTGTAGCGATGTGGATTAGTTAGTAACTTGGATTGGAAAGTACTAAGCATTGTGATGGATTGGATTGGATTTATGTATGTATTAAGCGTTGGATTTATGTATGTCTCGGCCTCTTTAAAACTGTTGATGTATCCTGCTTTTAATATAATTGTAAAAGATATGTACACTTTTATAGTTCTTTTAAAATATAGTTGTATTATAGTATTTTTGTTTTTAGCATTCATGTGAGCATATTGGGTAGGGAATTGATGAGTGTGTTGAAACACTGCATGCCGAAAGCACAGCAGGGCATGTAAGGTAACAGACCCTTTGGGGAACCCAAATATTTGGCACATCTCTGTATGGCAGGACAGTAAAATGAATTAATGGAGTTTCCCAGGAATGCCCTGACCCCGTGTGCAGTTAAAGAACATCTTTTGAAAAGGCTGGCGGAAACAACAACCTATATTTACACAGTGCCATTCAAACAACCAAACATCCCAAGGTACTTCATATTAGTGTTATTGAACAAGGTTTGACATAGAGCCACATAAAGAAGTAATAGGACAGATGACCAAATGCTTGGTCAATGGGACAGTTTGCAAATGAGTGTTTCATTGAAAAAGAGAGGTGGAGAGGTTGTGGAAGCGAATTCCAGAGCTTGGAATACAGGCAGCTACTTATCAATAGTGAAGTGATTAATATCAGGGTTGTTCAAGATGTCGGTATTAGCTTAGTGACAAATGAGCTCTTGACTGAGTGAGAGCAGAAATAAAAGATAAATTGTGTGGTTGTACAGTGTATATATGACCATAAATATTAGGTGTCATTCTTTTGAGAGTTAACCACTTATCCACACTGCACTATTTCAGGGATTCATTACATAGGGCAGCTCTATGAACGATCCTTCCTGCGGACATTACTAGAACAGATTACAGATGGCCAGTTGGAATGGGTGAAAATGGATGACCTTTTCGACAATGTAATCCTGGGAGACCAACAGACCCAACGAATATATCAAGTCTATGGTGGGAATCAAAATTATCGAAGTTGTTTGAAGATGCAATTTCCTCAGGAAACAGAAGCAATTGATCAATTCTTGGAGCATATAAAGGTGACTTTTGAAAAATATACATAATGGGGATCCCTTTTGAAGTATTTAGAATTGTAAAATCGTAGAATGAAAAGCATCCAATAGATGGAATGAATTGTAAGCATTTAACAGAGCAAGGAGTTTTTTGATTAGTTTAAGCACAGTTCTTTGGAAGATATGATTTATTCTATTCTGAAATGCTATAGCTGGACGTTAATTGAATTTAGCACTCAGGGAACCAGTCATTGTTGCTGGCACTGCTGCTACTTTCTCATTGGCATTATCTCTTCTTGTCATGTTATCCTTTTCTGTGTCTACAGGCAGAAATTTAGGATGGAGCATGCAGTAGGTGCAACACTGTAACTCCAAATCAGCATTTGCACATGTACAGACAGTGTCTCCCCTGATCTTGCAGTACAGAGATGCAGCTGTTAATGCAGTGTCACTGTCAGTTTGTCAACTAATGGGAGACCAGGCCAACAGCGTAGTGATCTTGCAAACTCTATTATGTTTGTCAAAGTGTAGCTCTGCGCTCTCAATTATATCTGTCCAGCTGAGCAAAGAATAAGTCATTCAACCAGTTGTGAGAATTAAATAATTATTATTTTGAGCAGCCTCATAAGAAATGATGCATTTATTTTTGCTCATGGAAGAAGAAAAGTATAACAAAGTTTTCGATAAGATTTGTGGCTCAGGTTGTAGACATGCTCACTGAGCCGGTGGGTTTGGTTGCAAAATTTGGTCACCCTGCTAGGTAACAACGTCAGTGCGTCTCTGGTGAAGCGTCAGTGTTCTGTCCTGCTTGTTATTTATATGCCTCGGTCTAATTTTTTGTTTGCATCGACTGTGACAAATTTCAGGATTTAGTTTCGTAATAAGTTCCTTAATTCTGCTACAATGCATAAGAGATTAAAAATCACAAACAAATTGCCTCTCATTCTAATTTGCTAAACTGTTGTAATCTGTCAGAATGTTTAAATTTTCTGAAGGCCACACAAAACAATTCAACCACAAAACATTTTGTTTGTGAATGTGTTTAGCAGGCTTCTTAGAATTTATCAAACCGTTGTTTAAATTCTGATTGGGCTCACTGACTGATTCTCTTTGTTATTGTCTCTCTTTCCTCAGATGGTTTCTCTGTCCCTCATTTGAGCTCTCAACCTTAGTATATGCCTCCCCTTTTAAAAATATCTTTGTGATATACAATTACCTCCATCTCTAACTTTCAAAGTCATAAACCTACATCACAGAAGAGGCTGTTGGCCCATCGAGTCCGTGCTGACCTATCTACACTCAACACACCTTCCAGCACTTGGTCCATAGCCTTGAATGTTATAACATTTCAAGTGCTCATCCATGTACTTCTCAAAGGTTATGAGGTTTCCTGCCTCTACAGCTCTGCCAGGCAGTACATTTCAGATTGCCACCATCCTCTGGGGTGGGCATGGTGGCTCTGTGGTTAGCACTGACTGCCTCATAGTGCCAGGGACTCAGGTTCACTTCCACCCACGGGCGACTGTCTGTGTGGAGTTTGCACATTCTCCCCGTGTCTGCGTGGGTTTCCTCCGGGTGCTCTGGTTTCTTCCCACAGTCCAAAGATGTGCAGGCTAGGTGGATTGGCCATGCTATATATGCAGGGTAGGTGGATGAGCCATGGGAAATGCAGGGTTACAGGGGTAGGTCTGTGTGGGATGCTCTTCGGAGGGTCGGTGTGGACTTGATGGGCCGAATGGCCTGTTTCCACACTGTCCGGATTACAAGATTCTCTGAGTGAAAATGTCTTTTTTTCCTCAAACTCCACTAAACCTTCTGCCCTTCACGATAAAATTATAATCCTTCTTTATTTTCTTTGCAAAGTCTTTGAATGCATTGTTGCCTCTCAGTTCTGTGCCCACCACTCAACGTTCAATGGATAAATTTCTCTATTCCGGCTTCAGCTTTTCCCAAAACGTGGGATCCTCTGGCCAAAGCCATAATGACCTCCGCCGTTACCCGTCCTTGATGCAGTGTTTGAGATAGTGACCATGCTAACCATCTGCAGCCTTCCCATAGCCGGTCATTTTAACACAGCGTCCTGCTTACATGCCCACTTGTCTGTCCTCAGCCTCCTGCAGTCCTCCAGTGAATCAGAGCACAAACTGGAGGAACAACATCTCGTCTTCAGTCTCTGCACTTTACAGCCTTCTGGACTTAATATTGAGTTCAACACCTTCAAATTGTGAACCAACTCCCATTTCTTCCCTTTCTTTTAGCTTTACTTGTTACATTCTCTGTCCTCTCTCCCCTCTCCCCCCACCCAAGTGGGACTGTCTTCTCTTTCACGCCTGGCAGTTAGACTCACCATTGTTCTGCCATTCTCACATTCCAATCACTTAATCTGAACTATCCACATCTTTTCTCCACCAGCACTCTACGCCCACCACCACCACATATCAATCTCCCCCCCGCCAAACTATAGCATAAATGGTGCCCCCCTCCACACCACTTCAGCTCTGATGTAGAGTCATCTAGACTCAAAACGTTAGCTTGCTCTCTGTCCGTGTATGTTGTCTGACCCGCTGTGATCTCCAGCATTTGTTGTTTTCAGTACAGATTCCAGCATCTGCAGTAATTTGCTCCTACCATCTCTGTCAGCTCTGCTCCATTTTGTCTTCTAGTGGGACTGCCACTGCAAATTTTACTTCTATCAGGAATAGCCAGCATATTCCCAGCTTCCTTTGATGTAAGGTATCATGTTCTCTAAGGATCTATCCTTGCCCTTTCCTTATTTACATGTTGTTCACTTTGCATCATTACAAAATGAAAGAGGAAGGCTTTCATCACATTCAAGATTCAAATAATATCCTCAACCAGAATTGCCCAATATCAATGATGTGGAAAATAAATATTTTATGTAGTAGGACCTTCTGGAAGACATTATAAATGGCAACAAGATCTGAGAGCAGATTGCTCTAAATATGCTCCCAATTGCATATTTAGTGCATTATGAAAATGTTAGCATTTATTCCATTAATTTATTGTGTATAAGGTCTGAATTGGATAGGGGATCATTTGGATCAGAACTCTGGGCATTAAACTGCTTACCTTGGCTCAGTGACATGGGCTTCTTCTCATCTGTGTTAGACAAACAGGAGGACACTTTTGTTCTTTCTCACTGTTGACCCACATTTGCTGTTTTACTCTAGATGGTCTCAAAAAAAGCATCGTTGTTGGTAATCATTAAAATGATCCCTCTTCCACTGGCAAGGTTCCTGATAAAGAGTGGCATCATCCATTGGATCTCATCAATTTTCAAGCTGGCATCCACCCCACTTTCAGATGTGGTTAACAAGCTGACACAAAATAAAGACCTTCGAACAGTCATGTGCTATGTCTGTGGGGATTATGGTAATGTGCTTTCATTATGTCACTGTACGATGCTTTTGATTAATGAAGTATGTGGAAAATTTAATCTAAATTTGCTTTTCTCACAGCCTTTGGTTCTGAAGATCGTAGATAGAGCAGTTTTTGGAGCACTGTACAACTTCAAAACTAGAAATCGGCAAAGTTTCATTTTTTTATCGAGTACCAGGGAGGGCTTTCCTCTGCGTGGCCTCGCGAATTTTCTCATGCCATTGTACCAAATCCGCTACTACAAGTAGAGCTTTTTTCTTCCATCTGATTATCTCTGCCTTACGGGTCCTTGGAAATCGTTACAACTCTGATAAGTAATTATTCAGACCTCTGTCACTGAGCTGCTCAGTGACTCACAGACACCGCATTCACCTTGGCATAGAATGAGTCAGGGTTGGCATGGGAGTAAATCAGGTAGAATAGTGCTGTGTGACTTATTTTCTTCAGTTTCAATTTTTTGGCTCCCAATTGCATATTTAGTGCGTTATAAAAATGTTAACATTTATTCCATTAACTTATTGTGCACAAAGTCAAAGAATTATGTAGGTTCTGATTTGGATAGGGGATCATTTGGATCAGAAACTTGGGCATTAAACTGCTTACCTTGGCACAGTGACATGGATAATGAGCCTTTATATGATGGTCGTGTACCTTGTGACATAGGTCTACCATATTATTGCCTGGAGGTCGCCTAAGGTCTAGCTTCCAATGAACAATTCTGGCTCCATTATTCCTCTAGCTCTGTGCTTGATTCCTATGATACTGAGGTAGCTGATTTACACAAGATACATGGGGTGCTAATGCGCTCCCAGTATGACCCCAATGGTGGGGCATTGCTCTTAATATGCTGTACTGTTTGAATCTGTGCCTCACGCATCTCACACGGCATCATAATGCAATGTCTCAACATCCAATGGCTGTCGTTGGGGAAAGGGGATGAGGCATATTCAACACGGGCATGAAACCCAAATTTTTCCATTTCATCTTGGTGCTTAATTCAAACAGACCTCATTCTAGCAATAGCCAGGGCCTTAATTATTTATGAAGAGAGATTGAGCAGTTTAAGCCTGTTAAAGCAGGTTAAGCAGTTTAACTCTCTTGAGTTTAGAAGAATGAGATGAGATCTAATTGATGGAGATAAGATGCTAAAGGGGGTTGACAATGTAGGCATAAAGAGGATGTCTCCTCTTGTTGAGCAATCAAGAATGAGAGGTCTCAGGTCATAGTTTATATACAGTGCAGTCATACAGCATGGCAACAGACCCTTTGATCCAACCAGTCCACGCCAAACATAATCCCAAACTAAACTAATCCCACCTGCCTGCTCCTGGCCCATATCCCTCCAAACCTTTCCTATTCGTGTACTTATCCAAATGTCTTTTAAACTATATAATTGTATCTGCATCCACCACTTCCTCAGGAAGTTCAGTCCACACGCGAACTCCCATGTCTTTTTTTTAAACCTCTCTCTTCTCGTGTTAAAAATGTGCCCCCTAGTTTTGAAATCTCCGATTCTAGGGAAATGACATCTGCCATTAACTCTATCTATATCCTTCGTTATTTTGTAAACTTCTGTAAGGCTGCTTCTCAACATCCTATGCTCCACTGAATAAAGTCCTGGCCTATCCGGTCTTTCTTTATAACTCAAACCTTCCGTACCTGTCAACATCCTGGTAAATCGCTTCTGAAACCTCTCCAGCTTCATAATAATGGACAGCAGATTTAAAACAGAGATGAAGAGAAATTACATCTCTCAAAGGATCATGAATCTGTGGAATCCACTACTCCAGGGTGTTGTGAATGCTGGGACATGGAGTAAATTTAAGGAGGAGGTACATTTTTAATTAGTAACGTGTTGAAGGATTATGGAGAGGGGACAGGAGAGTGGAGTTGATCATCCATGATCATATTGAATGGCGAAGCAGGCTCAAGGGGTTAAATTGCCTACTCATGCTTCTAGTTCTTATATTCTTAACCCATAGTGTGTGTGTCATAAATTTATAGAGTTGGTATAAGTGCTGTTAAAGGATGGATATGGTCTGTTTAATGTCACCATCTGAGTTTCTTTTAAAATCTCCTTTTTATGTGAAGTAAATGAACTTAAACTGCCAGTGCTAAGCTGACAGGCTAACTGGTAGAGGTTTAAAAAATGACCACCTGACCTTGCAATTCCAATAATGGTCTTTGTTGACATTTCCCAAAGAACTTTTATCATATTATTTTGAATACTTCACTGAGTTTCTAAAACTGCATTTATCTTAGCTAGAGGTTCTGAGTTTACAGTTTTATTGATGGTTTAGAGAATCTAGAAAAGATTTGATGTTTAATAAATGAAAGTATATTTGTTTTTGTAAAAGATCAATGAATTGAGACTTCGCAACTTTGTGTTTCTTCAACGGGAGATTTCTTGTTCACTGAAGTGTGTTTGAGTGAGAGTTTTATTATTCTTAGAAGCTATCTTTTTAACCATCTCAACATGACTCGTGAAGTTTGTGCCAACATGAATACAATGTGGTTTGACATGTAGTTGGCAAGGGGTGTGTTTATAGGAGGCCTGGGAATTTTAAGGTGCCATGGCAGGAGAGCAGATAAAGGTGCAAGAGTGAAGGTTAGACCTCACTTAAGTGTCTAAATCAACTGTGAAAAATTACCAGAGAACAAAAGTAAATCTTCTGACAGTGCTGCAGCTTCCCTTGTCCACTCACTTGTCTGCTGATGATCTGTCCCTGGGATTGGACCAGGGGGAAGGGAAGCATGCCAGATTTAATCATTTGCATGCCTCCCAGTGCGAAATTAGGGTCTAACATGGTGTTTTAAAATGAGGCAGATCTATCAAGTGGGAAATTTCCCCAACTGAACATAGATCACATTTGATCGTAGATCATAGAATCCCTACAGTGTGGAAACAGGGCCTTCGGCTCAATAAGTCCACACCGACACTCAGAGCACCTATCCCCCTATAACCCACCTAATCTACACATCACTGAACACAACGGGCAATTCAGCATGGCCAATCCACCTAGCCTGCACATCTTCGGACTGTGGGAGGAAACCACAGCACCCGGAGGAAACCCACGCAGACACAGGGAGAACGTGCAAACTCCACACATTTGAACCCGGGTCCCTGGTGCTGTGAGGCAGCAGTGCTAACCACTGTGCCACCGTGCCGTTTGGGGGAAAAACTCTGGCTTTTAGCCCAATGTATTGCTCAAATTAATCGCATCATTAATAGGAAATTTGAGCTAGTGCCAGTTTCAGGCTACTTCTCATTAATTTTCGAATAGGCGAACACTCAAACTAGAAATTGTTAGTCCCTCCTTGGATAACTGACATAAACTTTAATAATTAATAAATATGGAGATAGCATTGGAAGGGTTAGCTGAGGTGGGACATCAGCCATAATCTTATTGATTGAAAGAAAAGATGCAAGGGACCAAATAGGCTACTCCTGATCCCAGTTCATATGCTCCAATATTCGTAATAAAAATACATAGTTTTGCCTACACTGTTAAAAATCTGTTGATTAAGTTCAGTATTTATGTTTAGACTTTCAATTTAATTTAGTTTGGCAATTTCTTCATAAATCAATTCCTCACTCCCATATCAAACTTCAAAATTAATTGATTGATTATTTATATGATGATTGATAGCACAATCTGAGCTCACCAGGAATTTAAACGTTAACTGAATCTGACCTGATTATTATCTTGGTAACAATAACTTAAATTTGTTTAATTTCTGCTTTAAGAAAATATGCTAAATGTTAAATTTATCTTCATAGAGCTATCTCCAGGTAATTAATTAATTTTAAGAAAGATTTGAGCAAAGTTGCCCGAATATATTTTAGAGATAGTAAGAACTGTCGATACTGGAGTCAGAGATAACACAGTGTGGAGCTGGATGAACACAGCAGGCCGGGCAGGATCAGAGGAGCAAGAAAGCTGACGTTTTCGGTCGGGACCCTTCTTCAATATATTTTATGCTACTTTTGATATCCTTCTCTTGCAGTGAATAACCGAAGCTACTATGTAATTGTCTTTATATGATTTATTTTTATCTTATCAATGCTTGGTGTCACATTGATGTTGAGACCTCATTGTATTATGGGCATTTAGAAAAGGGACATTTACATTCTGGCTCAAAAATTTAAAAACTTAAGTCAAGCATGTGTTCATATTTGAGTAAATTGCACCGTAAGTTCTCCTGGTAAACAATGGTAACATCACCACCTCTGGACCAGTAGCTCTTGGTTTGAGTCCCACACCAGGACTTGTTGCCCGCACTGTGGCATGTGGCAGGACTGGTAAATAAGAATCAGCCTGTAAATCCTTCCCGTATGCCTGGTGGTAGCTTGGAGAAAGACTCCTGCTCCATCATGCTGCAGGAAGTGTGTGCAAACCACTGTAGCATTTGACTTGTAAACATGAACCAACCCCATGGATGTCCATTGGCCTAACCCTCTGACGTGAGGACAGGAGAGAAGACAGTGAGAAATAGTTTGTATTTTAGAATTGAAATTTGTAAACCCATTGTTTATCCTCTGTTTGAACTGCCCCTTTGTTTCAAATGTGTTTTCTTTTTCCAGGAGTCATCCCTAAAGAGGCCAGCTTTATGATGCATGCCTTAGTTGTCCAGAGCTACCAGAGCGGTGCCTGGTACCCAAAGGGTGGCAGCAGTGAGATTGCCTTTCACATAATTCCCGTAATTAAGAAAAGTGGGGGTGATGTTCTAATGCGGGCACCTGTCCAACGTATATTAATAAATAAAGATGGTCAGGCCTGTGGTAAGTGTGAATTAAATGTTTTCATTGGTTTAAGTATCAAGAGACAGCATATTTAATCATTGCTACTTAGGTTTGTCCTCTTTCTGGCAAGGTGTGACAGTGAAGAAGGGTAAAGAAGAAATAAACCTGTTTGCTCCAGTTGTGATTTCTGATGCTGGAATATTTAATACCTATGAACGACTGTTACCTCAAGAACTGCAACGTAAACCAGGTGTGTGACTATTGCAATGTATTATTTTTCCAATGGAGTATTAAGAGCAACAAAACTAGGCTTGATTACATCGCTAATCTGTCGCTCGATGATTAAAGAATGATGAGTTCTCACTTTCTGCTAACTTCAATGCCCAGAGAATGTCTGCCTTGCCCTGCCTGGTTTTTTTGAGCTTTTTTCCTTAAGCTAAAGCTTAAAGGTTCACTTGACGTTTAGAGTGGATACAAAGGCAGGAGGCGACTTGTTGTAATTGGCAGCAATCATCAGTCAAGGGGTAGACATGTTGCTGCATGATGATGTGCTATGTCAGTATATTACCCGTACCATGTGCCAGCAGGGTATGCAGCACTTCAACCTAATTATCATGTCTCAAAGGCTAAACAGAGTAATCCTCAGTCAGGTCCAGAGAGCCATTCTTCTGTCAGGGAAACACTGCACTGTAGGTCTAAGGCAGCATTGATATTGGTACATGACCTTGAGCACAGGTCAGTCAGTAGATCAGGACTGTCAGGTTCATAGGGTCCACGCCTCTACAGTCCACGGAGTGGTCTCAGTCAGCCCTGTGAATCCAGTGCAACCAGTATGGGGAGTCACATGACATCAATCGGGGATTTGCACGAGGATCAATCAGGTATCTGGTCAGTAACCAATTGGAGCTCTTCATCCAAGTTGGTCAAGAGAGTGGGCTATGGTCAGGCCACTAAAGGTCAAGGGGCTTTATGAAGGTCCAATGTTATAGGAGGGAAGCTGGGGAACTCACTTGTGGGGATCAGAGGCAGCTTGCTGGTTTGCAGAAGGCATAACAATTGTTAAGGTGGGCAACTCAATATACAAGGAGAGGAGATGATAGAGCATGGAAGGGAAAGGGTAAGGCAGGAGGGACTAGGCCATTGACAGTCAGCACCATCCTGGCTTTGAAAGGAGTATATTGCGCTACCACATTTGGCACGATGACTCAATGTGTCTGAGGCTCAGGGAGTAAAATGCAATGATGAGCAGTGAAATAATGGGGTTAGGTCAAAACATAGGGAACATCAAAGCTGATGTAGTTGACAGCAAGCGCTAACAAGAATGGAATGTGAAGATTTGGATGGTTACCTAGACTGAGAGGCTGACTACGTGACTCACTACGTGAATCATGTTTCCTACCATCGGGTTTGCAGTGGAGATGAAAATGGCGGACTCTATAACCAGAGTGGTCAGGGAAGTGTGTCATTCTGAGGGAGGGAACTTCACTTTCACCCAGTGTGAGGCCCTTCAAAGTACAGTAGCATCACATAAACAGCCATACAGTACAGGTGTAAGATACTTGCAAGCACTTAGGCTACTGTGTGGAGTCCAAGTCCTGGCCCAGATAAATATATCTTCACCAGTGATTTTCAGTCGTGAGAGTGAATATCTTTCTAGCTGCAACTACAAGCACCCTCGACAACATTATGTAGCATCAGGAATCAGTCCCACTAAAGGCTGTGTGTACAAGCAATGTATTGCAATCTAGATTAACCCTAGCTGTCAAAGTGTCAATCACCTTCCAAGTTCCCATAGCCTGCATACGGTGTAGCAGTTGTTCAGTTCAAATCTCGGACCATAAACACATGGTGTAGCATTAAGGATGATTGGCTGTGAACCTTCGCTGTTGTAGTTGCAGCTACAAAGACATTCACACTCATAACTGATGATGAACAGTGAACATATATTTACTAATGTAAGAATGGATTTCTAATGAAGAGTCACCCATGCCACCTATGTGCCCTCAGAGTGTCGTCATCTTCCTTTCCCTCCCACTACATTGTAATGCAGTCCGAGGGTCTGCAGCTTGGGTGCCTGCCCAGCATGGAGCCCGTCGACCTTGAAGGTTTGGTTGGCTGACCCCGGGGACATTTTTGTTGAGTGGGCCTACACATACAGAGTGCGTCCTGCAAACTGTTCAAGGTAGCTCACAGGCTCCAATGGGTTCCCAAAACTTTGCTTCACTGAGTAATAACTTTCAGAGGCCATCTTCAAGTGCTTTGGTCAGTTCTCGGAGAGTTTCTCAAATCCACCATCGGGGTAAGGCCTGCTCTGTTGACTCTTCTTCCCCCTTGACTCGTCTAGAAAAATCTCCTAGAATTCTTAGAAGTCTGCAGGATGTGTCATTTCGAGTAGAGTCTGTCCCCTTCCCACACCTGGCTGTAGCAGCTTGCAAAACCAAGCAGCTTTTTATTCCAAATAAAACCGAAAGAACTGCAGATGCTGTAAATCAGGAACAAAAACAGAAGTTGCTGGAAAAGCTCGGCACGTCTGGCAGCATCTGTGAAGAAGAGATCTGAGTTAATGTTTTGGGTCCAGTGACACTTCCTCAGAGCTGTTCTGAGTAAGGGTCACCAGACCCGAAATGTTAACTTTGATGTTTTCTTCACAGATGCTGTCGGACCTGCTGAGCTTTTCCAGCAACTTCTGTTTTTGAGCCTTTTCCTCCAGCTGATCTGTCCTCTCTGTCTCTTTTTTTTTCTGCTCAAGAATCCTGGAACCAACAAGTTTACTCTCTGCTCTGGTTCTTCATCCAAACTGTGAGAATTTCTCACCTCCCATCAAGTTCTTTGACTTGGAGTCTCTTGTTCCCATTAGCAACTAAACCAGGTTCATTGTAGAGCAGCATTCGGAACCAGTCACATGACATCTTTTACTCCATTTTACCTAAAACTAAACGTAAAGGTTACAGCAATCAACAATCTTACAGAACTGGAAGCCTTTTAATCATTACAGGGAGGTGATGGTGTAGTGGTAATGTCACTAGCCTAGTAATCTACAACCTGGGCTGATGTTCTGGGACATGACTTCAAACCTGACCATGCCAAATGGTTAAAATTTGAATTTAATTTTTAAAAAAAATCAATTAAATGTTAGTCTAATCATCACAATGTCAATTATCATAAAGGCCCATCTGGTTCGTTTTCAGGGAAGGAAATCTGCCTCCCTTACCTTGCTTACATGTGACTGCAGACCTGTAGCAATCTAGTTGGATCATAACTGCCCCCTGTGGACAATTATGGATGGGAAATTGGCCTAACCTATGATGCCCAGGTCCCATGAACAAATATTTTTAAAAAAGCGTTGACACTCATCAATTATTTATTCAAATATGTTCCTCCAACCAAGCTACTCAGTGGTGTAATGCACAGGAGTGAGCTTTTTCATTTGGCAGTGAGGTTTCCAAAATATCAATCTAATGGAGGATGACTCATTAAACAGCAAGACTGTTGATCCTCTGGCTAGCTGGAGGGGCATATCAGAAGGCTAGCAATCTTCTAGATCTTTACTTTGAATGAAACAAAATGATAGTGTTAAAGCAGATGGAAAGAAGGTTTATGTTTGCAATTCTCTATTTCAAACCTATTTTCAGTTCAGCCGTTTATCCCACGGAAAATAGAATTCCAAATCTTACCAAGTGTCATGAAAGGTAGTGACTGGAATTTGAGGAAGTGTTGTCAAGAGGGTGATTTAATTATCTAACTCTTGTACTTTCATCCTGGACCCAACCAGAGGAAGACATGGCTGAAGAAAGCTATGGGCAGGGTGGAAAGAATAGAAGATGGTGTTAGATCCTCGCAGCAGGATAGGAAGACAAGATGGAAAATGTTCCAGAAGCTCCTGCAGCCTTTCACAAATATTAGTCTCGTGGTATTTTAGTGCAAGAGTACTCGGCCACATTGGAACAGAAATTAAACTTGTGTGAAGTTGGCACAAGTTTATCTCACCCTGTGGGTTTTAAAATAGTAAATGGAAAAAGGGGAAGAAAAATTTATAGTAAAATTGCTTGGTGAACGATGCTAAGGTCACATGATGACAATTGGCTCCTGCTTTTCATTATGCTTGACTAGACTAAGGAGTGTAGACTGATTGGATTCTTCAACTGATCACCAGAGTACACAATAATAATAAAAACCGAAAGAACTGCGGATGCTGTAAATCAGGAACAAAAACAAAGTTGCTGGAAGAGTTCATCAAGTCTGGCAGCATCTATGAAGGAAAAATCAGAGTTAACGTTTCGGGTCCGGTGACCCTTCCTCAGAACTCCAGTTCTGAGGAAGGGTCATTGGACCTGAAACGTTAATTCTGTTTTTTCCTTCACAGATGTTGCCAGACTTGCTGAACTTTTTTCCAGCAACTTTGTTTTTGTACACGATAATAATCTCTTTTGAGAATCATAAGTTATATTACAACAATTCAGAATGTCAGAACTTATTCTCTGTTTATATTTATGCTGATATTCAGGAGCATGTAAGTTATTTCTTTAGCTATGAATGGATTCTGATGGTTATTGATCATTCTGTTGGCCCCACAGCCATCCAGGCTCAGCTCAGCATGGTACGGCATGGAATGGGAGGATTCAGCGTTTTTGTCGGGCTGGATGGCTCGAAGGAGGAGTTGGGGTTGAAAGCACAAAATTACTGGTTTTATCACAAGAACAACATTGACGAGCTGTAAGTTCATGCAGTGCGTTAAACTTACTGTCACAGCATCCAGTGCATGAGAACCCGCCTTTTATTTAGTTGCATTCAGCTTTGTAAAATAACATGATTCCACTCCATAGTATTACACTATTTTCTACTGTTGTGTGTGTTTCTAATTGTTTTAGTTATGTCTTCTGCTTCATCCTCTAATGCTTCTTTCATCTATAATCTGTTTTTATATTAATACCTTCCAAACCTGTAGCCTACCCATAAAAGGACGAGAGCAGCAGATAAAGGGAAACACCATCACCTGCAAGATCCCCTCCCAGCCACACATTATCCTGACTTGGAAATATGTAATAGTTCCTTCGTTATTGGATTAAATCATCATTCCTTACGTAACAACGCTGGGGATAGACCTACGTCACACAGACTGCAATAATATAAGACAAAGAACCACAGATAAACACAAAGTTATGGATGCTGGAAATCTGAAACAAAAACAGGAAGTGCTGGAGAAATTCAGCAGCTCTGGTAGCATCTGTGGAGAGAAAAAAACAGAGTTAACATTTTTAGTCCAGTGACCCTTCATCACACAGGCTGCAGTTAATGCTAGACAATAAAGGCGAGCCTACAGCCCTTGAATGAATAATATGTATCAAAAAAAAAGTCTCCAAATCTGTCCCCGTGTTACCAAATGTTCTTGGTAAGCTTGACTTGGCTTTTCTCAACCATTCAAGTTTCCTGTTTATGGTGATTTGAAACTGGTTTGTCCTTAGTGCAGGAAGCATCTGTTTTTCAGTGTTAAGGATCCAAGGAAAGTGTTTTTATATTGGCAGTCACAGTTGTTAACAGTCAAAGAATTATGAAATCTAATCCATCAAACATTACTTTTTGATTTTTTTCTCTTGATTTCCAGCTGTTGATATCTGGATTGCATGTTCTCATTTTCTGTCCTCAATTTTTCTCCACTTAATATGTGCTAGTCCTGGTTGGGAATATTTCTATAGAATTCATTGTCGCAGCCTAAGCAAACCATCTTTCCTTTTTCCATTTCTTTAATATTTTTGTAACTAATGGCTGAAAACATTCAAAGAAAATGTGGGAAGGTAACAATTTCTTTCAATGCAGTCATGACTTTTTGCCTGAGTTGCTTGGAACAAAGTCTAAGACGTTAGAACAATGAGCCAATGCATTTCCAGAAGCAAGTCAAAGGGTTTGTAGCCAATCATCATTGGTTTTTAATTTCTAACTGCACCCAACCTTTTTCCATTAAAGTCCACAGAATAAAAGTTTAGGCCTATATGGAAGACTCCTTTTATAGTCCCATGATTTCTTTTACTTGGTTAGAAATTTAAAATCTTGAATATTTTCCAAGTCAGTAGAAAATACAAATTGGAATGATGAAAAATAAGTTGCTGATGCAAGCTCCTAGCATCAATCAGTTTCTGCTCCAGGGAGTTCTGATACCTGCAAAGTCCAGGAAGAGTTGGCAACATTTCTGCATCCATCTTTCATAAATGGTCACTATTAACTTTCTGTCTTAATTTCAAATAAAGTTTCAGTTCCAGGAAACACCATACACCATCTTCTGTGCTGAAGATAAATAGAACTGATGATGCGTGTCATGGTCATGGCTCCTGGTTCCTTGTCTCTTCCTCTTAGGCACCCACGCCCCAATCCTTTTCCACCATACATCATTCTCATCCTAATGACTGGCAGGTAATTGACTTTGAAATCTTAGTCCATTATCTAATTGGTCCCTGCATTGCATAGTGGAGCTTAACATCATCCAAAAATGAAAAGAGGGAAAAAAGCATATGGAAGTTGCTTTCCTTAGACATTGGCAGTGTAAATCAGGAATTTAAAAACATCTTATTACCAGCAAGGGCAAAATATGCAATTGCAGTTCAGTTCTTCAACTTGTAGAATATGCAACACTGCCTGAAAGGCTGTGGATACTGAGTGAACTAATGCTCTCAGGACTGAGAGTGATTAGATTTTTCTTAAACGAAGGTATCAAGGGATGCAAAGCAGTATGGGTCAGTGTGCAGCTCAGTCATGATCTAATTGAAGGATGGCACAGGTTCAAGGAGCTGAATGGTTTACTCCTGTTCCTGTGTCCCGACATTTTTTCCCCATTTTTGTCCTCCTCCCAGTTAAAAACACATTGGAGCAATCGTTAGCAGGAACTTCACAGTAATTGGAATAATGTGAACTGAAATGTCCTGATGAAAGCTGGAAAGTAGTAAGAAAGAAAGAACTTGCATTTATGCATTGAAATTACATATGGCTGTGTAATTTCTTCTCCATTTAAGTTGCTTTCTGGAACACAATTTAGTTGCTTTGTTTATTAACATTTACTTGCCATTATTTAAGTTTCAGTAAATACTGCACACTCAGCAAAGAAGATATCACTGAAGGGTATCCCTTCATGTTTGTCTCCTTCCCATCTGCTAAGGATCCAGCTTGGGATGCGCGTTACACAGGTAAACAACACCAGACATATATCAAAAATATTAAAGCCAATATTGCATGGTATTCTCTTTTCCCTTAGAATCTCATTCAGGAAGAAATAAGCAACTGAGCCAAAATAGACCAGAATATTCCAGGTTAAGTGTCCTTTTGCACTCAATTAGTTAATATCACTTGGGCATTAGGAATGCTTAATAGAGGAATATCATTCAGGGTCTAGTTCTTAATATCTATTAATTGCTTTTCATGGATTGCTATCCATGAATCCATGTTAGAAAATGTGCAGAAAATGTGCCCGTTTGGACTTTGAGTCAGAGCAGGATTGTCTCAGTGTGCTGTCACTATAATTAGCTACCTTATTGACGCATGAAGAGTAACCACTTCAAGAAGGTATCGAGAGGGTGCTCAACGACCATGGGAACATAGCCCAGCTAGAGTTAAAATACTTTTGATGTAACGAAAGGATGACAATAGGGAGAAACCTGGAACAAAAAGGCGTTGCCCTTGCAATTTTAAAACAAATGCCAAATTTCCCATTCTAACAGACAATTACCAAGAAAGCAACTTTAGATCATATAGCAGGAGCTTCCCCAGCCTGGTGAAAGATCTTAGATTTGGGCAAGACAAGAATACAAATATTCACAAAAGCGTACAGCACAGAATAAAGGGCTATGATGTCCATGCTGACTTCTGTCCAACTAGTTCCCCTACTTACTTTCTTTGCCCCAATCACTACAAATTGTTCCTTTAAGTTTTTACCCCTTTTAAAATCACTATTCAATCTGATTTCATTACCTGTTTAGGCAGTGCAGTCCTGATTTCATTCGCTATACAGATTTTTATTCTTCATGTCATCCTGCTCCCTCTGCCAATCACCTTAAACCTGGAACCCAGTTATCTACCTATCTGCCACTGAAAACATCCCTCCGATTTACCCCAACAAATTACACATGATGTTGAACACTTCCGCCAAATCTTCTCCTAACTTTCTGTGCTCTAAGGAGAAGAACCCCAACCTCTGCACCCTTTGCAGTGTGAATGCTCCCATTCCTGGTACCATTGTAGTAAATCTCTTCTCTAAATTCCCTCTTCACGTTCTTGGTGTCCTTCCTAAAAAGACCAAAATTTCTTAGGCTTTTCACATAAACAAGATCATCATAGGTAACAACTTGATTTTCTAATCCTTAAAATAGTTCAAAAGAATGTATTTGTTTTACTGCTGTGAAATTTGTGTTGGATAGGGTTGTAATTTAAACTTGTCCGCTTTAGGGAAGTCTAATATGGTAATTGTGACATTGGCACATTACGAGTGGTTTGAAGAATGGAAGGACGAACGTGTGAAAAAGAGAGGAGAAGACTATGAAAGTTTAAAAATGGATATTGCCAGAAAACTGATGGACCGAGTTATCGAATATTTCCCACAACTCAAAGACAGGGTATGTCTGTCAGCATATATAGTCACATAGCTTTCTTTTAATGACATAATCTAGGCCAAAGCAGCCCACTAGATTGGTACCCCATCCATGACCTTAAATATTCCTGCCCTCCACAACAACATACAGCATTTAACAACTACAAGATGCACTGAAGCAAATCAGAAATGTTCCTCTGACATCACTTTTCAATAGTATGATCACTATCACCCAGAAGGATGTGGGAACTCCACTACCGACATGTTCCCTTCCAAGCCACACACCGTCCTGATTTGGAACTTTCATTGTCACTGCGTCAAAATCCTGGAGTTCCTTCTGTAATAGCACTGTTGATACATCTACGCCACATGGATTGCAGCGATTCAGGAAGGGAGTTCAACACTACCTTCTCAAGAGCAACTAGGGATGGGCAATATATGTTGCAATTGCCAGCAAGTCCATATTCCATCAACAAATAAGTATGAAAAGCATGATAAATAACAGTCTTGTTTGGCATTATCTTGCAGGAGTCAAAAGTTACATTATAGAATGGAGTCTGTATTACAGTCTGAGATTGAAATGGCTTAGTGCTTCTTGTGTGGTCTGTTAAAATCCTAAACTCCCTTTTAGGGCTAATCTGGATCAGGTCTGCTTCCTGATTAGCCCCCTTTCGTCGTCTCGTGTCAGAATTTAAGGACACTTAACTGGGTCTGCAGAGTTTGATGAATCTCTCCTTGAAGGTAAAGAGCCAGTCAACATGATTACCTTCCTCCTGATAACCTTTTATTTTTAAGTAAATATTAGCCAGATTGTAATTTTCTCAGGGTCTTGTCAAATTGCTCAGTTAATTATTTCCACACAGAAAGGGAATGAGAGGTGGGTTCTGTAACTTATTGTTACAGAAAATGAAGTGAAACAAATTAAATTAAAAAACATGCGTAAAAAGCATGCAATTTGGTGTGTACATGAAAAACATAAATCCCAAAATAACTATCTTTGAGGTGTACGTGTTTTCTTATCAGCAAATCATTTTCTCATCGTTGTGAGGTATTCGACCATATGGCATTTTGCGTGCTTGTTTCTTGTGAGAAAATATGTTCCTCTTTGTGTTTTACAGGAAAGTAACTTTTGAACCTGATATTCCTTTCTTATTACCATATCATTTGATTCTTCTTCCTTTGCACTTTTAAGCTTATAATTGCTTATAACGAGTGAAAAAAAATCATTTCAGTTTCCTTTGGCTAACTTGACTGGTTTGTGTCTGAATGCTCCACAGATTGAGTACATTAGGGTTGGGTCTCCACTATCACATGAGTTCTACATAGCTTCTTCTCGTGGAGAAATTTATGGTGCCAATCATGATGTATCGCGTTTTAAACCAGAAGTTATCGCTTCCTTAAGAGCGGGAACACCCATCAAGAACCTTTACCTGACAGGTATGTTACCCTAAATGAAGCAATAAAGAGGATTTAGAATGCATAACAGAAGCTGAAAATTTCTTGTTTAATTGAATGTGTTGCTTGCCAAGTTGTAGCATTAAATTGTCAGCGATAAGACAATTTCCTGAAACTTGCAACTGCTGACGAGGGTAGTGGCTAGTCTGAATTGGAACGTGTGGACTTTTGACAGGAATAACGAGGTGGGCATTTTGACTGTAAACAATGGTCTTAGAAGAAAAAGTGTAAGCACAATCAAAAGGCATACATTTACCTAAAATGCATCCTTGCTAACAACATTTAGAAAGTTTTGGCTGTTAAAGGTGGCAGTTTCAAACTGTTAGTTGCAGCCAATAGTTAAATAGGAAGGTGACAAGGTAAAGAATTATAATTTAATGAAAATGCTTTAAGAAGTTGGTCAAACCAGCAAACAGCTTAATGTAATTTTAAGCAAGATTTGGATTAAGCCTAATTTATTACAAAATTTAAAATAGCAAATTTTATTAAATTGGATATGTTAGAGAAATCACTATGGCCTTGAAATTATAATGTGGAATAAATTAGGTTCAAAATTCCTAACCATCCTCCCAATTTTAGCTACGGATTGTCCATTTATTTCAAAATATAATTTCAAGATTTGTGTGATTTGCAACACATTCAAAGAATGTTGGGATCAAAGGTGTCATTTTTAGATTGTAAAACATCCTTTTATCTGTAATAAATGAAATTATGTTAAGATAAATTGTTTTGACCTTCCATATGCTGTTGTTATATAAGAAACCCCTATCTGACAAAAAAAACTGCTGAATTTTAAAATACAAATCCGTTAGAATAAAGAAGTCTAAAATATGTTCCAACATTTCTCTTGTGTGCAATTACTGGAAACAGCAACATGTTAAGGGCGGTTAGCTCAGATGGCTGCTTCGTGATACAGACTGACACCAACAGCATGGGTTCAGTTTCCACAGTGACTGAGGTTACCATGAATACCCCTCAACCTCTCCCCTCATCTGAGGCCTGGTGATCCTCAGGTTAAATCACCACAGTTGGTCTTTCTGTCTCTCTCAGCACAGTGGCTCAGTGGTTAGCACTGCTGCCTCACAGCACCAGGGACCCGAGTTCAATTCCACCCTCGGGCAACTGTCTGTGTGGAGTTTGCACGTTCTCCCTGTGTCTGCGTGGGTTTCCTCTGGGTGCTCCGGTTTCCTCCCACAGTCCATAGATGTGCAAGGTAGGTGGATTGGCCATGCTAAATTGCCCATAGTGCGCAAGGATGTTTAGGTTAGGTGTGTTAGACAAGGGGAATGGGCCTGGGTGGGATGCTCTTCAGAGGGGCGGTGTGGACCTGTTGGGCTGAATGGCCTGTTTCCACACTGTACGGATTCTACGATTCTATGACATGATTCTCTCTCTCACGCGTGCGCGCTCTCTCTCTCTCTTGCTCTGTCTAATGAAAGAGCAGCCCTAAGGTCTGGTAAAACTATGGTAACTTCAGCTTTACCTCTTTGTTATTATCCTAATGACCTGGATTGCGAATTAAACTCCCGTTGCAAAGCTGAAGAATTCAGATTCAGTTAATACATGCTGTTTCCATATTCTATTTATCAGTAACGGTGATCTTGTAACTGTCGGATTGTTGTGTAAAATAAAATAAGTCACAATCTGGTTCACTTGTACTCTTTAACTCTGCCATCCTTACCTGGTCTGTCTTCAGATTCACAGCAATATGATTGACACTTAATTGCCCTCTGAAATAGCTAAGCAAACCACCCAGTTTAGGCAGTTAGGGATTAGCAATAAAAACTAATGAAGACCATGGTTTGCAGATTTCTTTTAATCAAAACAAAAACTAACCCAAGAGCAAAATGTTTCAGCATCTGAACCATTGTCCATCTCACAAATATTGTTAAACCCATCACAAAACTATTAATTCAAAGAGTCTGTCAAATGCTGAAGTTTGTTTGTTTTTGTCGTAATGTAAATGGGAAGAGTGCACCAATAACCATGCTCCATTGTTTCACAAGCTATCGTAAAATGTATGTATGTATAAAATTCCAGTGGGTCCACTGAAATGACCAATTTAGCTGTGGCTGACTGCTGCTCAAGACAAAAACAATTCACACTGGGTTTTGTCATTAGCGGTGCATAACTCTACTGTAACAAACGTAACCTTAACAACAATCAGAGAAAGACAGGAATTCTAATTTCAGAGTTTGTGACATAAACTACACCCCTTCAAAACCCCCAAATACAAATATAACCCATCATGATTAAGCCAGATAAAAGGCAGTTTAACAGATATACAATGGGTATGAAGAAAAAAGGAGGGTAAACAAAATTCCTTGATCAGAAATTCAAAAGCTGTAAAATTATTTTCTCACGTTCCTTTTGATATTAGCAATGATGACATAGGTCGATTCGATGGTTGATCAGGTGAACTTAGGTCATTTATTGTTTTAGATTTCTTTTTGTTTTAATTTTCTGTCTTTTTTCCCCACAGAGAGAGGGAGGGAGAGAGAGATGGATTCTTTCAATCTGCAGGCTCTGACCACTTTATTTTCTCTCTGCTGCCCTGGCAATTGCAGCTTTTTAACATCCTGAAGCTCAACCAATCTGAGGGCCGTTATCAGATAGCATTCCCTTAACTCGAAAGATTCTTCGTGCCATTCAGTCTCATTCTTCCTGTCATTGCTTCAAGCAGCAACATTGCGTCGCACAGTTTTAAAAAAAAAGCATTTGATGTTCAACTTGCAAAACACTCCTGGTATTTCAGTTGTAGCGGTGCAAATTTCATTTCAGTTTATAGTCCCAACAACGAAATTATGGACATGGAGAAGATGTTTCCACAATAGGTGAGACTAGGATCCAAGACCACAGCATCAGAGTGAAGAGATGACCCTTTAGAGCTGAGAGGAAGAGGAATATCTTCAGCTAGAGGGTGGTGCATCTGTGGACCCACTGCCACAAAAGGGTGGGAGGTCAAGTCATTGAGTAAATTTAAGACCGTGATAAATATGTTCTTGATTGGTAAGGGGATCAAGGGTTTTGAGGAGAAGGGTTGAGAAACACATCACGTATAATTAAATGATGGAACAGACTTGATGGACCAAATGGCCTAATTCTGCTGCTACATCTTATGGTCTTTTATGTAATTTATACATTGTGGAGAGAAAACAAGTGAAAGAGAGTGTAAATATAGAAATCAGAAATGGCTATTCTTGTTCATGTTGTTGTGTAATCCGTTCCCCTGTTTCTTGCTTTTATCATCCCAGGTCAGGATATATTTTTCTGTGGTTTTACGGGAGCCATCCATGGAGGCCTCATTTGTGCATCAAGAGTTCTTCATCGCAATTTGTACAATGACATCATGAACCTTAAGAAGAAAATGAAAAAAACAAAAGAAAAGAAGGAATCTTAACAAAGCTGTTGAAATTCTATCTTATTGGTTTTGTGATTTCTTTTTACATGGAGTTCCAATTTCTGCAGCCAGAGTCATTGAAACATTTATTTGTAGGCCAACCATTTCACAATATTAGATGAAAGCGACTGTTAAAGTTCTTTCAGGACTGTGAACTGAATACTACTAGAACTTAATCACTTACATCAGGAGACTTGTTTTATTAGCAGTGTGTACACAATTGACCTTTTAATTCAAAACATCCAACATCTGGCACCACTGCGCTGTCAGCTTCAGAATCAAATTTGCAGTCAAGATTGTTAATAATGTGATATGAATTACAATGATTTTCGCAAAAAACTGAGTTGATCAAAAATTAATCTTGGGGAATGAAGGATTAACTGTGATGGTTTGCACAGCGGTTTGTTAAGTAGACAGCTTAACATAGACATGGTTGGGCCAAGCATTTCTTCAGTGAAGAGGTTGAAAGAGTTGTGCTGGTTATAGAGATATATCACACAGCTGAAATATAAAAAATACTGAAAACACTGCACACTAGCTAGAATTGATCAGGAAATTCAAATGTGATCTTTTTGTAATGTTACTAGGTGCAGAGAATTCATAAGGATCTAATTGTAAATGATCTAAAAATGTTATTCCTTCTAATTGCTGTATTGTTGTTTGAACTTGCTTTAAGAATTAACTTGCCAGCAATAAACCTAAAGCCAATGTTTCTGAAGAAGGGTCTAGGCCTGAAACGTCAGCCTTCCTGCTCCTCTGATGCTGCTTGGCCTGCTGTGTTTATCCAGCTCTACACCTTGTTATCTCTTATAAAAGATCTGGTGAGTTAACTGGAAAAGGGCACAAACCCAATTACTTATCAAAAGAAGCAGGCACCTTTTTGTTATCTCCAAGTTTCTGATTACACTACAAGTGTACAAGCCGTCCTGTTCCTGAGACATCACAAAAGTTGTAAATTTTATAAAAGTATGCAAAATCCCCCAAAATTACCTTTCTTTTAGACCCAGCTTGAAAGGAAGCACGAACCAGGTTTCTGTACTTAACAAGAATGAGTATTTATTACAAATAAATAGATTCAAATAATGGATAATTTGAACCATCAACGTGTAACTTCACTAGTTGAATTTCTAACCCCCTTAGAGACTCCCCTGAACATACACATATAGAGACCAGGAATACTGGAACTTGACTTCCAGCTGACTACCCCAGTAAGTCTTGACATTGCTTTCCTACACTGATACTTATTCAGCATCTTTATTTGATATAATTGATTCTTCATGCTATGATCAGGTGCATTTATTAGATAAGTCACTTTAATAACCCTCTTAACTACTGTGTGTACGACTGAATTTCACTTTGAGGTTAACCTTGCAAAGGCTACAATATCAATACTTTGTTTTTCTGCCCATTCTTTCATTTTGCTTGTGAAACATTTGAAAGTCTACATGATCCTGTAAGATTTTCTCAAACTATGGACAGGTGATTTAACGTGGAGGATTCATACTTTTTAGTTTAGGAACTTCTACATAATCAATTGTAATGGACCTCAAATGTTATAAGATCAGTCATAGATCAGTTTGAATGGACTAAATTCAGTCGATTCATTTGTTGAATCTCTGGTAGCAAACAGTGAGAAACTGATCGTTTTGTCACAATTCTATGGGTATTCATGACAGTAAGCCTTAATTGGGGTTTTGAGAGACTTATGATACCTCTCCAAAACACTCTTTGTGGTTAGTACACAGTTGACTTCAATTGGTTTACACCCATGCTGTTAGTAATCTTTTAGAAAGCTTTAAAGTTAAAACCATTATCAAATTGTATTTCAATTCATAGTCCATGTTGCGGGGGAGAAAAACTGTGTCAACCTTTCCATTAGGGAAGCAGATGTAGGACTGAGGTCAGGAGGAACTTCTTCGCCCAAAGGGTTGTGAATCTGTGGAATTCCCTGCCCAGTGAAGTGGTTGAAGCTACCTCGCTGAATGTGTTTAAGGCAAGGCTAGATAAATTTTTGAACAGCAAAGGAATTAAGGGTTATGGTGAGCGGGTGGGTAAGTGGAGCTGAGTCTCAAAAAGATCAGCCATGATCTTATTAAATGGCGGGGCAGTCTCGAGGGGCCAGATGGCCTACTCCTGCTCCTAGTTCTTATGTTCTATTAGCTTCCTAGTTATCGTTGCCCTTAAAGGAATAGATCCTGGGAATCAGGTTGTTGTATCTTAAGTATGGTGAAGTCACCATAGTCCCAGAAAACCATATATCTGCTGTCTCAATAGAGAGTGACACTGCTAGTGGTTTAACCTGAGGATCACTAGACCTTAGTTAATGGGGGAATTTGAGAAGGAGGACTTCATGTTATCGCTAATTTTATGGAACTACTGATGTTATGCTTTTGTTTTCATTAATGGTTTACTAACACTCAACCGAATGGTCTTCAAAATTAGTGTATCACAACGCTGGTTTTATTACATCTTGAGGTCTTCTACCACCTGACAAGTCTGATATGTTGTACAGAACTGCACTATGTCTCAATGAAGTCTTGACCATGTAAAATGCCTGTTTATTGATACCCATGTTTCCCATACTCCAACCTGACCTGCCACAGGAATATCATTTGCCATTTGTAGTATCAAAGAAGAAAGAATAATACAGCACAAGAACAGGCCCTTAGGTCCACCAAGCCTGCACCGACACATGATGTCTTTTTAAATTAAAAACCTTTTGCCTCCACTGAGTTCATATCCCTCTATTCCCTGCCTATTCATGTATCTGTCAAGATAATGTTGCTATTGTATCTGCTTCTGCCACCTCCTCTTGCAGCGCATTCCAGGCATTTACCACCCTCTGTATTAAAAAAAGCCGTGACACTCACATTTAATTTAAACTTTTCCGCCTTTTACCTTAAACCTATGATCCCTAGTAATTGACATTTCTACCGTGAGAAAGAAACTCTGACTATCCATTCTATCCATGCCTCTCATAATTTTGTAAATCTCTATCAGGCTGTCTCTACCCCCCACTCCCCCCCAAAAGTCTCTAATGTTCAAGTGAAAACAAATCAAGTTTGTCCAATCTCTCCTCATATCTAATACCCTCCAAACCAGGCAACGTCTTGGTAAACCTTGTCTGTACTCTGTCTAAAGCTGCATATCCTCCTGGTAGTGTGGTGACCAGAATTGTACACAATATTCCATTTGTGGTTTAACTGAAGTTGTATGCAGCTGCAATGTGACTTGCCAATTTTTGTACTCTCTGCCCCGAATGATGAAGGCAAGCATGACATATGCCTTCTTGACCACCTTATCCACTTGTATTGCCACTTTCAGGGAAATGTGGACCTGAATGCTTAGCTCTCTCTATATGTTAATTGTTCAAAGGGTTCTGCCATTTACTGTTTACTTCCCTCCTACCTTAGTTCATCCAAAATGCATCACCTCGCATCTGTCCAGATTAAATTCCCTTTGCCATTTCTCCACCCCGATCCTGGTCTTCAATTTATCCTGTTTCTTAAAAAAAAACTTTAAGAACTATGATCTAAAAAAAACAAATAAAATGCACCGTTTCCCCTCTGCACTGAATTCTCACACTGTCTCCAAAGTCCCCGAACTATATACTCACTTGGGATGTGTCTCACTCTGGATGTGATCTCTCCTTCCTCACCGTGTAAAGCTTACTGATCCTTATGGGCGCTGAGAAAGACTGGGAAGGCAGTTTAGTTGTCCCTGTTCCATTGGTCTGGTGAGATGGTCCTTTTGGCTTTCCAAGACATGCTGTGCCTTGATTCTCCTTCTCCAGATACTTTAACTTGCTTGTTGAAGGTACAGGGAGGCTGGTTCACAAACATAATCATAGAATCCCTGTAGTGTGGAAACAGGCCCTTTGCCCCAACAAGTCCACACCAACCCTCAAAGCATCCCTCCTAGAGCCATCCCGCTATAGCCCACCTAATCAACACATCCCCGAACACTACAGGCAATTCAGCATGGCCATTCCACCTAGCCTGCACAACTTTGGACTGTGGGAGGAAACCCACGCAGACACAGGGAGAACGTGCAAACTCTACACAGATGGTCGCCCGAGGGTGGAATCGAACCCAGGTCCCTGGCACTGTGAGGCAGCAGTGCTAACCACTGAGCCACCATGCTGCCCATAATGTGTCAGCCTTACTAGTTAAGAGGCAAAGCTTACTGTAACCACTGAGGGAGCAAAAGTTGGCTATCTTCTGCTTGAGATGCCTTTTGCTTCAGAGTAAAACAAACAATCAACTCAATTTCACTTAACCAAAGATCAACTCAACTCAAAACAGCATTAACGTACATATATTTAGATGCATGGAGTACAGCAAACTTGATGGGCTTAATGATCTAATGATCTGCTGCAATATTTTATGGCTAATCCCAGCAACCACAGAACAGTTGGTTTAACTTCAAGAGTGAGGAAACCTTTGGAAACAATTAGGCGGGGTACAATCTGTAGTCACATGGTAAAGGGTGGGTTGATTAGGAAAAGTCAGCATGGATTTCTCAAGGGGGAATCTAACTAAATTGTCGGAATTTTTTTGAAGATGTAGTGGAAAGATTTCATGAGGGTAATGCTTATGAAGTAGTATACACAGATTCCAGAAGATATTTGGTACTTTGCCTCACAATAGACATATGAAAAAAGTCGTAAGTCATGGTGAAAAAGGGACAGTAGCAACATGGATACTCAATTGGTTGAATGGTAGAAAATAGAAAGTAATGGACAATGAAATTTTTTGAGGCTGAAGGAAGGTTTGTACTGGAGTTCCCTCAGGGTCAGTATTGGGACCCTCGTCTTTCCTGACATGTATTAATAATGTGGGACTTGTTGTGCAAGGGACAATTTCAGATTTTGCTGGTGACACTAAATTTGGAAGAATTGTAAACTGTGATGAGGATAGTACAGAACTCCAACAGTTTGTGGAGATGGCGGATAGGTGCCAAATAACGACCAATGCAGAGGAATGTGACATGATGCACTTTAGTTGTAAGAACACTGAAAGAGCATATAAAACAGGGCTGTAATTCTAAAGGGGGTGCACAAGTCGATGGACCTGGTTGTATATGGGCACAGATTATTGATGGTGACACAATAGGTGGAGAGAGCAGTAAATAAAGCACACAGTGTTCTTGGCTTTACTAAAAGGGCTTGGAGCACAAAAAGGAGGTGATGTTGAGCTTGTACAAGGCACTTGTTAGACCTCAGCTAGAGTATTGTGTACAGTTGTGGGTGGCACATTACAGGAAACGTGTGAAAGCATCAGAATTGAATGCAAAAATGATTTACTAGATTGGTTCCAGGGATCAGAAGCTTCAGCCATGAGGATAGATTGAAAAATTTGGGACTGTTCTTGCAGAGAAAGCGGCTGAGAGATGATCTTTGAGGTTTTACAAATCATGTATGGACTGAACAGAGTGAAGCTGTTTCTGCTTGTAAAACAAATGAATAAGAATTTTTTCTGAAGTGATGTACAAACGAAGCAAGGGTGATGTGGGAAAAAAAGCCTTTTCATGCAGTCAGTTTCGCGTGATGTGGGAAAAAAAGCCTTTTCAGGCAGTCAGTTTCTAGGGTTCAGAATGCAATGCCTGGAAATGTTTTTTTTTGGATAGAAATTGTGTGGAAGGATAAGGGAAAAATGCAGGAGATTGCCACTCAGTAATAGAACTGCTTGCACGATGGGTCAAATGGCCTCTTTCTAT